CAGGACTAGATTCCCAGGTCCATCTGTATTTAAAAGACAAAGGCCACTTTTTTGAAGACAACAAAGTCCATATTTTGGACAGAGAGGACTGCTGGTTTGAAAGATGGGGGTCAAAGAAGCCATCTATGTCAAAATTGAACAGCCCTCTCTCAACAGAGGGGGAGGGATACAATATATATCTCCAGTCTATAACAGTCCTTTCAACAAGAAGGTTCCAAGAAATAAATTTAATAAATAAATATATTTTAAACTTAAAAATCAATGTCACTTAAATCAGTTCAGTCAATAACTGGTGTAAGAAATTATATTTTACTGTTTTCCTGAATACTGGAAAAATAGGGTGACAAATATACTCCATTGTGCAGGATATTTTATAGTCTGGGAGCCACATAGGATAAGATAATCTTCTGCCAGGTATGTGAGTTCCAGCAATAAAGATGTAAAAAAGGATTATTTGCTGATGTAAATAGCTGAAAAAGTTCAGAGTTGGGCTTGATCAAACCCTAAGATCATTGTTTTAAAGTTCAATATTAGCACCTTAATCTGGGTTCAGATTATCATTGAAGATCCTTTGTTTCAGGCATCCTATAATCCCAATATCTTTCACTGGATTGGAGCTTCTGCATTTTATACCAAATGTGATATTTCAAGAAGAGTCCCAGGAAAGGCATCTTACAGTAGTCCAGAGGGAATGTAACCAATACATGGATACTGGTTGCAAAGTCCACCCAGCTCAGCAAAGTTTATAGTTAACCACTAGCCGTAGCTAGCTGAGTCAATGTACCCCTTACCAGAGACATCACCTGCAAGTTCAGTGGCCACTGGAGGTCAAGGAGCATCTCCAAACTTCAAATTTACTCATTTCAGGAAGTGCCGAACAATCCCTAAATTCAGTTTTCTTCTACTGACTCTGCCTTGCCTGCATTTAATTTCCCATTTTTCTCCCTCCCCCTGTTGATCTTAGATAACATTCCCAGTTGCTAATTGGTTTTTTAAAATTAGACTACAGGGACCTGTATAGCTGGCTGTCATCAGCATCCTAATGGCACCCCACTCAGTACTCTAAATGATCTCACCCACTGGTTTCATTTAGATGCTAAACAGCACAGAGGGCAAGATAGAACCATATAGGGCATCCTAGGTTAGTGGCCTAGGTGTCAAACGATAGTCACCCAGCACCACCTCCTGGATGTTTCAAAAATAGAGGAATATATATTTAAAGAAACTATATCTGCAGCTACTAGATTGGCAGAGCCCTCTATAGTGGAAAGTCTGTAGATCTTCAAATTTTCTACCATGAATCAGTCTCTTGTAGGTTCCTGCCCAAACCTGGGCCAGTTTTGCATAATGGTGAGCCCATTCACATGTTTTCATCCTCCTCTGTGGTCCATATTAGAGGGATGTCAGTGGGACATGGTGGCACAGTGGCTAAGACGCTGAGCTTGTCTATCAGAAAGGTTGGCCATTCGGCAGTTCGAAACCCCAGTGCCACATAGCGGAGTGATTTCCTGTTACTTGTCCCAGCTTCTGCCAACCTAGCAATTCGAAAGCATGTAAAAATGCAAGTAGAAAAATAGGGATAACCTTTGGTGGGAAGGTAACAGCATTCTGTGTTCGGCATCTAGTCATACTGGCCACATAACCACAGAGACATATTTGGACAGCGCTGGCTCCTTGGCTTTGTAACGGAGATGAGCACCGCCCCCTAGAGTCAGGAATGACTAGCACATATTTGTGAGGGGAACCTTTACCTTTTACCTTTACAGTATATCAACCATTTCATGCATACTGAGCACATACTTTATTCATACTGGCTTTGCTCCACCTCCTCAGATACCTCTTTTGCTTTGGTTTGGGAGTCACTTCAGATTGTGGGGGTGGGAGGTATGTGGTTCAAGAAACACTAACAAAAGGAAGAAGGTGTGGTTGTGGAAACAGTCCTAATTCCGTTGGCCTGAGGTTCTACTCTCACTGTACCTGTTGATTCCTTTCCACAAGGATCTGTTGGCATTAGCTGGATTGCCTGTCATCTGCTGGTGTTTTGGTTGCAGCTCTACCAGCAGGTGGCAAAAGAAAACTATCTTGTCTCCAGCAAGGCAAGTGATGTATAACTTGGGCATTTAAATATTAAGGAAGGTGCCCTTCTTCATTGCAAATATATATTAAAAAATGTCCACTCTTCTGGCAAGGAGATGTTATGCAGAATCAGCTCATCTGTCTTCTCCCTGCTGCAATCTGCATGCAGGACTGGTGGGGGCGGGGAGTGTTAGTATATGCCTGGCATTTCAACAGAATTAATGGATTATTAGCCTTTCTTTTTTCTGGTTTGCAGTTTGACGGAAATTATAAATCAGATATTGGAGTTTTTCACAATCTCAGAACTTTTACTTCATACAAATAATGCCATTCTTCTTTACTAATCTCTTGCAGTTAAACTTGTACTCAAATTCTGAATGTTGAAGTAGTTTTAAAACAGAATCTTTAGCGTAAATTGACAAATTATTAGTAAAATCTATTGAAAAAACTCTTTCAAAAAGCACCTCCCAACCAGAGGTGGGTTGTTCCCAGTTTGGCCCAGATCAGGCGAACTGGTAGTAGCAGCGGCAGGAGGCTCCGCCCACCCACCTGGACACTTTTGCACATGCGCAGAAGCATTGTGCGCACATGAGTGAACTTTGGAAACCTACCACTGCTCCCGACCCACATAGTTTGAGAATACATACAAATACATTTCTAATCTTTGAGAGAGATACAAATGTTTACATATCCATATGGATTTATTTATTTATATCCTGCCTAGGGAGCATGATGGGTAAAGTGGTTAGGACACTGGGTTGACAAGCAGCAAACCTGCATTCAAGACCCAAGTGCAGACCATGGGGCAGGGTGAGCACCTGTCCTTTGCTCCAGTTCCTAGTGGGAACATGAAAAGAATACTTCTCTGAACCATTTGTTAGGCACAGCCTAACAAAACACCCCCTCACCTCCACTGAGGAGTCAGGAATTCAGAATTCCCCTCTGCAGTAAACATGCTAAGTACTATATTGCCCCTTATAACAGTTCATGGTAATGTTAATATAGACCTATGCTGGAGTGGTGGCTCAGTGGCTAAGACGCTGAGCTTGTCGATCAGAAAGGTTGGCAGTTTGGTGGTTCGAATCCCTAGTGCCACATAATGGAGTGAGCTCCCGTTACTTGCTCCAGCTTCTGCCAACCTAACAGCTTGAAAGCATGTAAAAATGCAAGTAGAAAAATAGGAACCACCTTTGGTGGGAAGGTAACAGTGTTCTGTGCGCCTTCGGCATTTAATCATGCTGGTCACATGACCATGGAAACGTCTTTGGATAGCACTAGCTCTTCAGCTTTGAAACGGTGATGAGCACCATCCCCTGGAGTTGGGAACGACTAGCACATATGTGCGAGGAGAACCTTTACCTTTATGCTGGAGGTTACTTAAAGTATATTTCACAAAGAGCTGACGACACATACAACCTGTAAGAGTCTCTGAACAGTGACATGGGTAGCATATAAATTTAATAAATAAAACTAAAAATAAATATTAGTGCTCAGCCCAATCTACCTCTCTCTTCTTAAGGAAAGATCTGTACAACTTAGATAAATCAGTGCCATAGTTAACACGCAAGATTAATGCAAAATTCAGTGTGTTCATCTTTCCATCCCTCTGATTCACCAGATTAATTTTCCCTACCTACTGTCCCAATGGTAAAGATTCCTATTTCTCTTTAGGAGGATTGCCTGATAGAGCCATAGGGGGCCTGATTTCTCCAAGGTTCCTTCAGGGTTTCCCAACCAGACAGCATTAATTGAGGGTGGTGATTTGTATTTCTGGATCCTTGCACACTATTGGTCTGAGGAAGGCTTCATGCCCTTAAAGAGAGGTATTTTTTTGCTGAGCTGTTTAAGAAACCCATTTATACCTCCTGAGGAAGCCGGCTGCTTGTGGCTTGCCAGTCGAACCTGCCCTCCCACCAGCGCTCTCTGTATTTCTTCTTGGGACTTGGGTGAGCCATTTTGCATGTCTCTTACTCATCTCTCTTTACCTTTAAGGAACTAAAACGAAGGAATAGAAGTGCTTAGATTAACAGTGTGTGCTTGGCTGAATTATAGGATGTAAAGATGAGCATTGAATCAAAAAGCTGTTACCTCAGGAAGTCCCATTTCTCCCCTAATCCCCACTTTTAATTTACACATCTTCATCTGACATTATCCCTACTATGTTTCTTGCTGCTCTTACTCCATTCAAGAATGCCGGTTCATGGCACTTCAGAAGGGAAATTCTGGCATTTCTCCTCTGTTCTAATTCTCAATACATTAAAGTTGAAAAATATACATTTGCATGCTGGCTAAATTTACCTGGTTTCCCCCCCCACCCTTCATCCCACCTTGTCAGATGAGGAAGCTTGGACAAAAGCAGCAATTTTTTGCTTTGCCAAAAAACGTTTTGGGGCAGAAAGAAATGGAAACAGTTTGAGGCTGCAGGCAGCAAACACTAAAACCACTTGTTCAAAGGGAGCCGGGAAGTTATTACTTGGCTGCCTGGTCTTTTTCACATTTGCTGGTAAAAAATAAATTAGAAGGGAGAGATTGCTTTTCATTTCAGGGAGGGCAAGCTGTGCCGCTTTCCCAGGCTGTGGGCTGACATTTTTTGTCAAAGTTATTGTCGCTCATACTTTGGGCTGCTGTCGTTGCCACAGCGACTCCCTCACAACTCATGTGGTTGGGACTGGAAAAGGCTACAATCCAAGGAGACAGCTGCAGCTCCTTGCAAGCCATTTTTAGAAGCACTTTCTTCTTGGTTATGTGATAGGTCCTACACATTTTTAGGATAAGATTTCTTTTGGGAGACTTGCCACCGCCTTCTGGATGTCCTTGCTGGGCATCTTTAAGCAGTTGCTCATTTTATTCCAACTCAAAAGGACATTGGTGGCGACTGAGGCTAGCATAAAAAAGGACACCAGCAGCTTCACTAATAAGAGAAAATGTCACCTTATCATCGTGGTATCCTTGAGACACCAGTTATAGTTCTACACAGCACCCGTGAGCATACCCACAGTAATCAGTATGCAAACATTGACTGTAGAAGATGTCATTGACCAAGAATCCTTATAATAAATATGAGATGTTGGACTAAATCTCAAAACATGTTTTGCTCCCCTGTTCAAAAAATATCCCTTGCTATAAAAAAGTGCTTGCAGTTGTTCAGGTAGACACTATTTCTAGGAGAAAAGGAATAAAGTTTGGAAACTTTCTGAAATGCTTGGTGGACCATGGTTTTCTCCAGCTATGATTAACAACATGTTTGGCTGCTGTCCATAGATGTAGTAACTTTCTCCACTCAACAGAAGGAGAAGAGCTAGGGAGGAAGTATCACCTGATTTGTTTTCTGTTCAAAGCAGTGTCCAATAATAACTAATCTGAAGAATTCAATTTTATTAAAAAGTTTATTCCCTCTGGTTTATTGCAGGGTCTCGTCAACAAAACCAAGATGTCCTCAGAGTAAGTTGTTCTTTGTAATATGGATGTTTTTATGAGATTCAAATATCTTTTATTCTCAATTTTAAAAAAAAGAACTGTTTTCTGTGCCCCAACCATATGAAGTCCAGGCAGGTGGAAAATGAGTTTTTTGAGTCTTATCTTCATCTTGATGTGGGAAGTGCATTTGCAGTTATGGACTTCTGGCACTGAACTTTTTCCTCTGCTTTCTTTCTTCTAACCTTTGGGTGTTGCCCTTACTGTCCCATGTTTATTTTAGGGATAATGGTACTTATGTTTCATTTTCAGACCTTCAAACTAACCATCTTTTTTTCCTCCTCCCTCCTTTCCTTTCTTCTTGTGATCATCTCCTCTTTCCCAACAGAGAAGAAGTAAGTTTTTTAAAATTGATTATTTTAGAGACTTTATTTAGAATTAGAATATGATTAACTTGGTAATACCGTCGGCCTACCTAATTTTTCTCTTGGGTAGAAGAAACTGAAGAACAATGAATAGTTGATAATTATAACAGATTTTCTAGCTTCTTCATATAAAAGCCAGTTCAATTCAGTTGTATTACATAGTTATTATTATAGATTATTAGACATCCACTATACACAGAGGTGGGTTCCTACCGATTCAGCCAAGTAGGTAGTAACTTGGCCTGGTATGCTCCTGAACCGGTTCTATTGTCAGCACCGCCATCTTGATTTTTGATTCTGCGCATGCGCAGAACAATCTTCATTGCAAAAATGCATTTTCTCTCCTTTTCTAACATTGTGCGCATGCGCAGAGCTTTTTAGGTGCAATTGTGCATGCGTGCAGAGCACGCATTTGGCGTGCACGCAAGCAAACCAAGCACACACACACACACACACTTTTGTTTGCATGCCGAACCAGCAGTAATGCCAGTAGCCATCCACCCCTGTCTACACACACATATACAATATATATTAGTTTATTTAAATCCGGGTAAAGCCAATCCTGCTGGGTTGGGACATTGTTTTATACTGAATCATTCTGTTTTTGGTACAAAGTCCCACTGAAACGGCATCTCTGATCTCAACATTGCATCACATATTCTTGGGTGACAAAGCAAGAGAATCCAGGAAAACAATCTATGCAAAGGAAGAGGAAGGGCTGCATATACAGGACAAAGGCTTATGTTTGATAGGTATATTAAAAGATCTGAGTTGTAGATGAGACTTGTTCCCAAAATGAACATTTGATCTTACTCCCCAAATTACTGTCATAGCAAGCGAAGGCCTCCCTCCCATTTCTGATACTAGATTGCATATCTTTTTCAAAACATCCCTCAAAAGGGAACATCATTCTCTAACAACTCCTTATTGTTAAGTAAAATGAAATCGATAGTTTAGGTAGCACACAAGAAAAATATTTGGATTATAATAAATTCCCATCCCACTCCTCGGAGTGGCTATTTCATAGTATCAAATGGAAAGCAGTTGTAATTCTCTGGAGTGCATGCTGACCTCCAGTATCTTGCTCTTGCTCCCTAATGGCTCTGCCATTCCAAAGATTTCCTCTATCTTCTTGGGAGTTAAGCTCTGGGGTAATCTGAAGAGCTATGAACAAACAAAGCTATGCTCTGAGGAGCCCCAAAGCAAAACTTTAAGGACTAAAGCCAGCCTGTTCTGCCCTACCATGCAAGAAAGCAGCTGGTGCGGCCCCCTAGGCATGCTTCAGGCAAAGATGGTTTGTTTTAAATCTTTTAATACCTCAGAATTTTGCACTCTCAAGATCCATTGGAAGCAGTGCATGTTGACTGCACAACATGCAGTGAAGGAGCAACAGCTGTAGCAGTAAAGCAGGGGAAGAATGATGGGGTCCTTCCTTCCTCTTAAAGAGTCTCCTTGGACCACTCTACACACTGCATGGACCAGATAACTTTACCATTATACAAGTCATCCTGCCAAGCACAGCTTTCCTTATATAATAAAAAGCTATTAAAGTAACTTAAAAAGCTTAAATAGACAATACCTCAAGGGTTCCTTCTCTCCTGGTAACTATCATGGCGCTGTAATAAGGCAATCTGTTTTCTTATAAATTGTGTGGGTAACCTTGAAGGATTTGCAAAGTTGCTATCTGAAGAGCTATTCAAAGGAGGATGTAGGATGAAATCAATTGTGAAGTGCATCCTTCTTTCTTTAAACTTCCATGCCCCTCTCCTTAATAAAGAAGCATCCTTCCTTCTTTAAACTTCCATGTCCCTCACCTTAATAAGAACTGAAAAAAAATCTACAAGCTTAAATCTGCAGATAGCTACAGGCTGAACTAAAAAGCTGCTAGAATATATACAGCCTGCCCCTCCCTGTAATGATTCTACAATTCCTTTTGCTATAACTAGAATCCTGTTTTCCAGAGCAAATTTGTAACAGCAGAAGAATTTGCTCTATCTCTAATTATATTTGTTCTCTTTATGTAATTGCTTTGTAAATTATTTGAAGAATTCTAGACCAACAGCTTTTCTAAGCTCATGTATTACCAGGCGGGATTGAGTTGTTGAAAGAGACATAAAAAAGTCATGGTTATTTTTTTTCCTTCCAACCTCCTTACCTTGAATTGAGCTAAATTACGCGAAGTAATAAGTTGCATTCAAATAATCAGTCAAAACCAATAAAGAAAACCAGTGTGTCAATACAAACTAGCGAACAGATATCAATACTACAACACTTGGCTGCATTCTTAAAGGTTTCATAGGAAAAATATTATTTTCACCAAGAGAATGTAGGTTGACAAAGTTTCATGGTAGATTCAATTTTATACACACGATCTTTAGCAATGACTGGGAAAGCCCTATCTTGAAAGTCATATGTTTGGTAGACCACATGTATGCATGTAAAAATATCCTGGGATTCAGTTCTGGGCATTTCCTTAAACCTTTACTCCCTTTGGAACAAAATGTTAGAAAAACGTACTGTTTCACTTCCAGAGAAGTGAAATTATAGTACAAAACTTAAGTCGCTAATTAGTATACTTTATGGAAATATTATCTCTATTTCTGTATAAAATGAAAAATATATGGGTACAAATATGACAGAATTTATGGAAATCAAATTGGGACCTACATATTTCCTATCTAATGATTCAATCCTGGTCACTTCCTGATGAAACTGGAAAACTCCAGTTGAAAACCTAACGTCAACTGTACTAAACTAGCTGGACCACTGGTCCAAGCTGGCATAAACAAACTTTTTGTGTGTTCCAGACTTAACATATTACACTGAGATCAAACTGAAGGAATTATCAATCTAATAATTCAGACAATATAATACAGTTCTTTTGTTCTGCCTCTAATTAACTCTCTTAATGTACAGGGTTTGTTTGTTTTTTAATAACTTCAGTACTTCCATTTTATTTTATTTAATCCCATCCATATTGAATTGGTTTATCTGTACATAAGAAGAGCTGCTACACCATTGGTTTCTGGAACAGCCATCGTAGAGCAAACATATAACTACAAACGATATATTTGAATCAAAACTTACTAAAGTTGAACCGAGTCTTTCAAAAGGACAAATTTTGAGCTGAGGCTGTCCACATAATGAAGTGACCTTATCGGATTTCTTAAACATTCTCAAATGAATTGTGCAACAAGCATCACATGAAGCTATTCGAAACACGAGTAACTATTCCTGTTACACCAAACCATTAGAGACAAAATATAAGGTTGAGAAGACAATTTGTAGAAGTTAAAGTTCTTTAGTTAATATAATTTAAGGACACGTTTTGACATCTATATTAACTAATTAAAAAAAAAAGATATCAGGAGTAGAACTAGGACAATATTAATAGGAGTCAAATTTTTACTTGAATATTTCTTGTCTCCAGAGCGTGGGAGGCTCAAATTCAATCTTTGCACCACTTTGAATTGTGAAAGCAAGCCTGAGAAAAGAAAATTTTGAATAGCAAATGGCAGGACAGAAGAGAAGTGGGTTTATTGTCTACTTCAACTATGGATGTTATTCTTGTGATGTTATTTCATGTTTACATGTAAAGGGTGGTCAGATTTCTAGGAATGATGCAGACAAAAATGTGGCTCATGGAAATGGTACAGTGAAAGCTCAAAGTCTTTTTTTTTCCTTTTTCCTAATTTTAGAAAAAGAAGAGGGCTATCACTGCCCGCCGGCAACATCTCAAGGTATATATATACATATTTATGGAGATCATTAAAAAAAAAAAAGCAGTGCTATTTTATTGTCTTTTTGCCTTTCTCCCTAGAGAAGAAGGAAGGTAATTGTAAAAAGTCCTACGCCAGTCATGGCTAACCATTTTGTCATTGCGTGCCGAACCTGTGTGTGCACGCAAAACAGCACATGTGTGTGTGCCCACATCTAAAATGCAATGTGCCCCACCCTCTTGCACATATGCGTGACCCCCTGTGACCCCCTGGCACATGTGTGCGACACCCCCTTGTGCCCTGTTTTGGGTCTAGCAGGCCTCCCTGAAGCCTCCTGGGACCAAAAATGGGGTGCTTGGGGGCACACCGCACCTCCTTGAACTCCCTTTCTGCCCCTCCATACATGCCCCTCTGCACATGCATGCACATCTCCCACATGTGTGGCAGAGAGCTGGAAAACAGCTGGCCGGTGGAAGGTGTGCACACATGTGTGGTGGAACTGAGCTGGGTGACGGCTTGTGTGCCCATAGAGAGGGCTATGCATGCCAACCTATGTGTGCCATAGGTTCCCCATCACGGTGTTATGCCATGAAGAATTCCTCTTATACAATATCTAGCAAAATGCTTCTCAAATGATGACTGGGCATCTGCCAAGAATGAGACAGAAAAAACTAGAACTGGACTGAACATTCCACATGTATACAGATATCTGCTGTGATTCATTAACAAAGAATGTTTCAAGTTAATGATCAGTTTAAGATTTCTGTCCCATTTTCAAGTACAGGAGCTGCAAGTTAGCTGTGACAGTGACAATTCTGATGATACTTTAAATGCAAGTCTGGCCCAAGTGCTAGGAGTGGATTTTCATTCTTTCCCTTCCCTCCAAATTTAAAATAAGAGGATACACAAGGAAGACTTTTCATCCCCATACCTTCCATGAACCCTATTTCAACAATGCAGTTTGCTCTTGAGGTCATTTCTGATATCAAATTAATCTCGGGGGAAATGCTCTGGAAAGAGTCTACATTCAGTAACCTACTGGTGATTGGAAAAAGCTTCTTGCTTATGGGCAAATTCATTAAGTTAGTGCGATCAGACTTTCATTCCATCTTTCTACATGATCGGGATAGTTCTTTCATTGAACTAAAGGACATTGTGCTTAACCTCTAGTAATGATGAAAATAATTAATAATCATGAATAATTACACTTTGAATTTTAAACACCTTTTATTGAGACTTGAGTGATTCTGATTTGCTGAAAATCTGCTAGGAATTCATGGGGTAGCCTCAACATGAATGAACATTCTAGTCATAGGAATGGAGAAATGATGATCTTCATATTTTGTTGAACCAGAAATAGTAGTAATCCAGCCAGTTTTGGCCAGTGCTGATGGCTGTTGGGAGCTGTAGTTTTTGGTAACATCTGAAAGATCTCCCATTTGTGTCATGATGGCTCAGTGGCTAAGATGCTGAACTTGTCGATCAGAAAGGTCGGCAGTTCAGCAGTTTGAGTACCTAGTGCCATATAACGGAGTGACCTCCCATTACTTGTCCCTAGCTTCTGCCAACCTAACAGCTCGAAAGCATGTAAAAATGCAAGTAGAAAAATAGGAACCACCTTTGGTGGGAAGGTAACAGCATTCCATGCATCTTCGGTGTTTAGCCATGCCGGCCACATGACCACAGAGTCGTCTTCGGACAGCGCCTGGCTCTTCGGCTTTGAAATGGAGATGAGCACTGCCCCTAGAGCCGGGAACAACTAGCACATACATGCGAGGGGAATCTTTACCTTTATACTGACTCTGTTCTATGCTATTTTCTAAGCCCTGCCCTTTATTTTGATATTAGCAGAGGTGATTGTTGTTTCGGGCACAATTATATACCTTATGATGCATTCTCTCTCTCTTCCTTGACAAATACTTCTTCTGCCAATGTAATTTTGCTTCTTCCAATTATCTTCCAGAGTGTTATGCTCCAGATTGCTGCTACTGAGCTTGAAAAAGAAGCTGTAGCTAAGGAAGAAGAAAAAGCCAATTATCTTGCAGAACACTGTCCACCTCTGCACATGCCAAGTTCCATGCAAGAACTGCAGGTAATGATTTCATCCCTTCCATCTCCTATCCAAGAACAGGAGCATTAAACTTCACGTATAATGCATTAGTTGATTTGCTGATTTGATCTGACAATTCGTTTCTTTCCAAATTAGATTTTTGCAAACTATAAAGACCCATCATCCCCAAATATAAATATATGTTCTTAATTTGGCTTATGTTTTTAACATATTAGAAGCCTAGGCCTGACTGTCTGTGGAGAGGAGACAAATGATTATTGCCCCCAAACTGAAACTTATCATATTTTTTGGAGTATAAGACCCACCTTATTCACAATAACAGAGGTGTTTCCCCCTTCCTCCAACCCCCAGAAGCACTCTGCAGGCTTCAGCAGGGCTGGGGGAAGGGGGAAATGCTGCTGTTTTTGCAAAAATAAATCCCTTTTTGCCAGTTTTTCGCAGAAACTGGGGTATCGTTGCTTTCCCCCAGCCCTTCTGAAGCCTGCAGAGTGCTCCTGGGGGCCAGGGAGGAGAAAAACCTTTATTTCTTACTTACCTCTTCCAAATCTTGATGCGTCTTATACACCAGTGTGTCTTATAGTCTGAAAAATACGGTATACGCTTGTGTTAGGAATCCTGACAGTAAGTATCTGAGGGCAACATTTATGTGATAATGTCAATATGCTGATATTGCATTTTGTCCCCATTGCAGTTTGCTGAGGAAGCTGCTGTTATATATATATTAGGCTATAGTGTAGGCCATATCAAAGTGCAGGTTTAAACACATACTAAGTAAAAATAAAATTCTAAGCAAACAATTATAGGTTACAGGTACAATTACAGTGACACATTGGGTTATAGCACTGCATATTTTTATGAATCATTTCTTCCCGTTTCTTTCCTTGATTGAAGACTTCTGTTTTTTAGAAAGTAGTTACACTCATTCCCCACCCCCAATGTCCTGTTGTCTTCAGATCTCATGTGGTTTTATTTATTTATTTATTTGGTAGTATCTGAATCTCAAAGTAATAGCAAAGGAATTTCTGAAAGGCAGCTCCTCCTTCTTCTTCAGCCAAACCTGCAATGGAACAACCTTGAAAAAAATAAACAGAGCAGTGACCACAAAGTAACAGGGAATCCTATCATTTATTAATTGTATTTATGCCTTATTGTTCTTCCCAGGAAGTCCATGCTATGTATGTACATCTGCTTTACACTTAAACATCTTTAGGCACCTAATTGTCTTGAGAGTTAACTATGTCATACCATTTCAAAAAATGAATAGTTTAGGCTAAATGTTTATGTATCTGGGCTATATGGACATACACCCCATTCCTGACGACATTGTTGGCTTGGTATACCTTAAGTTTTTTTCTTTGTGATGCAGAACCAATTCACTTTATCTCTTTCTTCATAATTATATAATTTTACTTGGCTTATGAAAAAGTACTTTTACTTAATTCCAAGAATAAAAAAAATAAAGATGTGGAACAGACTCAGTAATTCTGAAACTGTACATCTAGACATATCATCTATCAAAAACAAGCCTCCAGAAGAAGAATTAGTAAGGTTTGGCAAAAAATAGTTAAGTAAGTTTAAGCAACCTCCTTTAATAATCACTTGTTGTTTCTCAACAGGAATTTGTCAAAAAACTTCATACTAAGGTAGAAGAGGTTGATGAGGAAAGATACGACACAGAAGTTAAATTACAGAAAACTACCAAAGAGGTAATTATCTTAATTACAGAACGTATGTATATATGGTACAACATCCATACATATGGTTTATTGATTGGGTGGGCAATTTCTAAGCATTTGTGTCCAAGTGGGTTGAAATTTTCATCTCATAAAGAAATACAACAATTTTGTATTTTATGAGACCAGCATGCTGGGAAGTGGCCATGAGGCGCAGGATTTTAAAAAATACATAAAATAGGTACAATTGAATGGTACAATTAAAGCCACACCCCTTTTAATGTGGTTTGTAACACACATACTCTACAAAAGGGGTGAATCCAATCACATGGATTGGCTACCAAGTTGACTTTTTAGATGTTTTCCTTTGCTCAAAATAGTGTAGGCATTTGACATCACAGCTAACTTTGAAAAATTGAAGAGAAAAAAGAATAGCTGGACTGATATTGCTAGATAGACTGTATCTTCACTACTCACATTTTCCGTTTTAGTAAACATTTAAGATGAATATTGTGTATACAATATTCAATATACTATATGTAAGTGGGACAGGAATACACTTAGAATATATCCACATCAATGGCAAAAAAAACAAAGTATGGTAGAAGTATGTTTGTTTATACATATACATACATACATACATACATACATACATACATACATACATACATACATACATATATATATATATATATATATATATATATATATATATCTCACACACACACACACACACACACACACACACATATATATATATATATATATATATAACACACATATATATATATGTGTGTGTGTGCGTGTGTGTGTGTGTGCGTGTGTGTGTGTGTTTGTTTGTTTGTTTTATTTGTGCTGATAAATAAATAAAGGGAGACTAGTATAGATCTATTTCAAGCTATTTAGCTCTCATCAGCTAGCCATACCCTTACTGGGATTTGAACCTGTGCTGTATATATATTTAGTGTCTCTCTTTATTTATTTATCAGCACAAATACAACACACACACGCACACATATATGTATGTATGTATGTATGTATATATGTGTGTGTGTGTATGTATACAAACACAAAATCTAGTTACAAAAAATACACAGAAGCAAAATGGTTAACCAAGAGAAAGAACCAAGAGAAAATATCCCAAGCCTTTTTATCATATGCAGATTAATTGTGAGCATATTTATTTGAAGAGATAATGAAATTCCAAGCACAAGATTATAAAGGAGATATATGAGGTTAAGATGCAAAGTCATGGCCTCTGCATTTTATTTCAGCTGATGTAGAACTGCCTGTATGTGATTTTCTGTAACACGTCTAGCATTATTTTCCCTTTGTGTTCATAAGCACTTTCTCTTATAGTTTCAATATACTTATCTTTTAGTCAGATTCTCTTCTGACTATGGATTGGATTCCTCTGGCATCTCTTGATTTAAATTTTGATTTTGCCTTCCTTCATCATTCTTGGCTTCGGTCACATCATTGGGTATTTTCATCTCTTTCTGACTGCAGCTTGAAGATTTGAGCCAGAAACTGTTTGACCTGAGGGGCAAATTCAAGAGGCCACCCCTGCGTAGAGTCCGCATGTCTGCTGACGCTATGCTGAGAGCCCTTCTGGGTTCCAAACACAAAGTCTGCATGGATCTTAGAGCTAATCTGAAGCAAGTCAAGAAAGAAGACTCTGAAAAGGTATTTAGATAGTTGAAAAGTAGCAATTTCCTACTAGTAGTTTGGCTAAATGCATCTGTCAAGAATTTCACTGCAACCACCAAGTATCTTGATGTCTTGGGTATATTAAACCTATGCTTAGCCATCTATCATCCTCAATATTTACCCTTGGTTGTTCAGTCTAATATTTGAAGAAACTGGTTCTGTAATAAAGAGACGGAATCAGAGTGATGTGGTAGCTGTCTTCCAGTACTTGAGGGGCTGTCACAGAGAAAGGGGGGGTGTCAACCTGTTCTCCAAAGTACCCGAGGGCAGGACAAGTGGAAGATGATTAAAGAGAGTTCCAAACTAGAACTAAGAAGAAATGTCCTGATGCTTAAATAATTAGTAGGATGGCTTGATTCCAGAAGCTGTGGGTGTTTCATCACTTGAGGTTTTCAAGAAAAATCTGGACAGTCATTTGTCTGGAATGGTATAGGGTCTCATGTCATGTGGCAGGAGGTTGGACTAGAAAACCTCCAAGGTCCCTTTTAACCTTATTATTCTATGTTCTAATACTGAAGGGGTAAGTTGTGTGCTCTATTTGGATGTGCATGAAATGAAGGAAGTCTTTCAAATCAAGGTCAAAGTAGAATCCTATGCTGCCTAAGTAAGTCCAATTATGCTCACTAGGTATATCACAATATTGGACTGCCCTGCAAATAAAATGAAATGCTTAACAATACATTAAGTGACTTATAATTTAAGATAGAGGTCATAGTTAATATAATCCTTTTTTAAAAAAAATATTCAACTCCTCCTCCTGCCTAAATGTCATTCATGGTTTCCTGCTAGAAGAATAATGTTATTAAAAATAAGTGAAACACAAAATAAAATTAGATATTAATAATTGTTTTAGATCCTTCACTCCAAGAAAGTCTCCCCATGAGTTTTCCAGATTGCATCCAGGAAGCTTGTCATGCTGATTTCTAACATGGCCAGAAATTGTGTCATAATATATTGAACACAAGGACACTAGATTATAGGTAGACATAGATGATAGATAGATAGATAGATAGATAGATAGATAGATAGATAGATAGATAGATAGATAGATAGATAG